AAGTGGTAGCATCAATGGACTCAAGTGTGGCAACAGTAGTGAGTTTGGCCCAGGATCGAGCAGGGTTTCATTCTGCTGTGCATAAGGTCACTATGGGTTGGTACCAACTTGATGGCACCTAACAACAACAAAGGGAAGGGGGATATTCTTTGCTGGTTACTGAGATGTAGGGGATGGAGTGAGGGGAGGAAAGGTGGAGAATAGGGTAGTAAATAGAAACAAGATAGTTTGGGTGTTGTGCAAGCTGGGCAATACACAAGAAGTGGGATGGGAATGGAAGAACAAAGCCGATGGGAGAACAATTAGGTAGGTTTGCATGGGCTAAGTGGGACAGGGGTAAATAATGATGTATTCAAACCTTGGAACAACAAGGATCTGGAATACAGGGTTGATGCATCATTGAAATGGATAAAAGAGGGGAAATAATGTTAAGATGCTTGGCTGTCTTATGAATCTTGGTTTCCCTGCCATACCATTATAAAATAGACACTTGAGGGGGAGATAAAGGAATAGCCAGAAATATCACCATAGAAAGATTTTAAGTCCGTCTTCTGCCTGAAATGGGGCTACAATGTCCCCAGTTAAGGAAGCTTTTGTGGAGTCTCTGCATTACACAAGACCATAGTGGGGATCCTGAACAGCATCCAGAATCCTCAGAGGTGGGAAATTTCCACTTGAAAGGACAAGCAGATTAGTCTGGAGCAAGTAGAAGAATAGAAGATACTTCTTGAAAGAAAGACCAACAGGAAAAATACAAAACAATGATGGCAGTCCAACTGATTACTATAAGAACAAGCAAGTTTCTTTCCCTGGAGACATCAAAGCAAGTGATCAGGTCCCCTCAGGACAAACCCCCTTTCAAGACTAAGACTCAATGGCAACACATGAGCAGATATGCACTATTCTTGTGACCACTTTGGTCACTGATAAGGGGAAGTGAGAGAAAAACAGCAATGAAGAAACAAGCTACGTCCTACAACATTTAATAGACTCCTGTGAAGCCAGGTAGAGACCTGGTTGGCAAGACTTGGGACTTCTGGGCCTAGAGTCAGTGACGTAGCCACAGAGGATTAGAAAGGAGAGTGAAGTGTGCAGCTGATAAGAAATGACGGCACAAGAACATCCACACTTGCAGATAATACCCACTTGACCTGGCTTCAATGGCTGGATGATCAAAACTCAACTAGAAGAAGAAAGAAGAGGAAAAAAAGAGTAATCTGATACAATTTGATGAACTTGACCTACACCTATGGATGTAGTAGCTCAAAAGAGGGAACAAATCTTTACAGCGAGGCTCATTCCCACCCTCTCGGTACACAGGGTAGACAGGGATAGGCAATTTGGACATTGGCTACCCAAAATGGGGAGCTACAAAGGCAAGAAATGACTGGCTTACAAGCTTTCAAGGAAGAGCCTAGATCCATAGGGCAGGGAGGAAGGTAGAATCTCCACTGAGTAGTATCCAATCTGTTTGAGCAGGGCTGATGAAAG